CCATCCACGAAGGGCCGCACAGGCCTGGCACATGACTGGCACATGCCGCGCACATGCGCGCACATGACAGCGCAAAAACGGCCGCACATACACCCACCCAGGGGTATAGATGTGAGTGCGGCGTAGTTAGTAGTAGTCGTAGTAGTAGTAGAAACACAAGTGGTAGCGGTAGAAGTGGTAGTCGCATGTCGTGATAGTAGTAGCAAAGGAACTAGTCGTAGAAGAAGTGGAAGTAGCAGTCGCACTCGAGGTAGTAGCAGTAGTCGTACTAATACTAATACCACTAATACAACTATTACCACCACTACTACTACTACTACTACTACTACTACTACTACTACTACTACTACTACTACTATACTACTACTACTACTACTACTACTACTACTACTACTACTACTACTACTACTACTACTACTATTACTACTACTACTACTAGTACGACTACTACGACTACTACGACTACTACTACTAATAATGATAGTCGGAATTGTTGTTGTTGTTGTTGTGGTGGTTCTGGTAGCAGTCGTCGCGGTAGTCGTAATGGCAGTGGAAGTAGTAATGGTAGTGGCGTAGTAGTAGTAGCAATGGTAGTAGCAGTGGTGGTAGTAGTAAATAGTAGTAGTAGCGTGGGTAGTCGTAGTCGTAGTCGTAGTCGTAGTAGTAGTAGTCGTAGTAGTAGCAGTAGTGGTAGTAGTAGTGGTCGTAGTAGTAGTAGTAGTAGTAGTCGTAGTAGTAGTAGTAGTAGTAGCAGTAGTAGTAGTAGTAGTAGTAGTAGTAGTAATAGTAGTAGTAGTAAGAGTGGTATAGTAGTAGTAGTAGTAGTTGTTGTAGTAGTAGTAGCGGTAATAGTAGTAGCAGTAGTAGTAGGTCGTAGTAGCCGTACTCGTCCGTGTAGTAGTCGTGGTAGTAGTACTGGTAATAGTAGTAGTCTTCGTAGTAATAATGCAGCAACGCAAGTAATAGTAGCAGTAGTAGTAGTAGTCGTCATATCAGGTGTGGTAGTTAGTCGTCGCCGTAGCAGTAGCAGTAGCAGTAGCAGTAGCAGTAGTAGTAGTAGTAGTAGTAGTAGTAGTAGTAGTAGTAGTAGTAGTAGTGGTAGTAGTAGTAGTACTCGTACTCGTGTAATAGTAGTGGCAACGGTAATAAGTGTGGTAGTCGCAGGGTATACAAATAATAATGGCAGTAGTCGCAGTCGTAGTAGTAGTAGCACTAGTAGTAATACTAGTAGATGTCGTAGATCTACGAATCATAGAAGTGATAGCAGTGGCAGTAGTAATAGTAGTAGTAGTAGTAGTGGTAGTGGTAGTAGTAGTAGTAGTAGTAGTAGTAGTAGTAGTACTCGCACTCGTACTGGTAGTAGTTATAGTCGTAGTAGTAGCAGTAGTAGTAGTAGTTGTTGTAGTAGTGGTGGTGGTGGTTGTGGTAGTAGTAGTAATTGTCGTAGTAGCAATGATAGTCGTAGTAGTAGTGGTCAGTTTATTAGCAGTAGTAAGACACGTAGTCGTAGTGGTCAAAGTACAAGTAGCCGCAGTAGTTGCACGGGTCGTAATCTTCGTAGTAGTGGTCGTGGTAGTAATAATAAAAGTGGTGGTAGTAGTAGTAGTAGTAGTAGAAGTAGTAGTAGTAGTAGTAGTGGTGGTAGTAGTACTAGTGGTCGTAAAAGTAATAATGGTAGTCGTCGTAGTAGTAGTCGTAATAGTAGTAC